TTTGCCAAAGGGCTCAAAGATCCCCCGGAGCATGTCCTCGGTGATATTGAAGTGCAGGCAGCCCACACAGAGGCGCATTGGTCCACCACTGCCCTTCTGCAGGTTGTTGGCCATGGCTGCCAGTCGGTTTTTCTCAGCCTGGGGAAGAAAATGATGGGTCAGGTCCCACGTTTCCTATCTTCAACCTCATCTTCTCATGTCAGTTTCTCAGCCTTCTCACCTGTGAGGCCTGTACAATGATAGGCACCCCCAGCAGCCGCTGCCCAGTCAGCCCAATGGCCAGTGGCACAGACTGGATTTCACAGAATTCCACATAGGCAATGCCCTTAGAACGACGTGAGTTCCTATCTGAGATGATACGTACATCACGAACCTATGCAAAGCAAAAAGGAAATCCTGAGTTGGGCATAAAGGGGGATGGATAGAAAAGGGGCTACTCAGAAGAAAACTAAGGCAGGGAGGTTACCTTGCCAATAGCAGAGAAAAAGTCCTCCAGGTCTCGAGGCCGAATGCGGGCAGCTAACTGCATACAGAAAACTGTTCGGGCATCACGCTCCTCGGGACTCAGATTATCAATCGGCTCCCTAAAGAATGCGTAAAATTTGTTGAGACCATCCCCCTAACCAGTACTTGGTCATCGTTCTCTAGCTACCCTCAACTACTACACATTCTTGTAGTTTGGCTCAAAGAGTTTTTGATTCATACCTCACAATCCCAAAAAAGTACTCATTATCAACTTACCTGACTGGGCTCTTCTCTCTGAAATGAGGACTCTTACTGTGTCCATACCTACGCCTATGGAAGAGAGAACAAAAGTGGAAATCATGTCACCCAACTTTATTTGCATTGGTCCAATGCTGGGTCTTTCATCATGAGAAAACCAGATCCCAGCACCTCATCTCACATGTGAATTCTTAATACCACCTTTCCAGGAGCTGGTCTCCTGCCTATCACAGCAGGTTATAAGCATCCTCAGGTAGGGACCACAGTACACATTTTACCCATATTACAATACAAAGATGATCTTATTAGCAAAAGGTGATACCCAGTGGCAGGCGGTGGACTTCTGTAGCGGACACGATCCTCACGCCGCTTGTCCCGGCTTCGGGACTCACTACTATGTCGGCGATCCCAGCTACGGCTGCGGTGACGACGCTGCCGATCTCGACTGTTTCTCCGCCTGTGCCGATCCCGGTCCTGACTATGACTACGGGTGGAAACAACTATTTAGTTGGTTAAAGAACCAACCAACTTCTTCTGGCCTTTAATGTAAAGCTTTCCCTGGTATCTTTCCATTTATAGTAATTCTCAAAACCCAACAGCCCCCAGAATGACTGACCTGTGCTTTCTATCCCTGCTTTTACTATGGCTCCGACTCCTCTTCTTCCTGTAAAAAAAAAAAAAAAAAAGTATAAATTCTTATTATTGCAAAGGTTTCATTGCATCTCCCAAGTAAAAGGAATAGCAGTATGGCCCGGGTGAAGCAGAAAGCAATAAAGGACCAAAGAGGGCCGACCGAATGGCTCAGCTGGTTAAGAGTGTGAGCTCTGAGCAACAGGGTCGCTGGTTTGATTCCCACATGGGCTAGTGAGCTGCTTCCGAGCTGAGCTGCCAACAGGTAGCAGGATGGCTCAGCTGGTGACAGCACATGCTCCTAACAACAAGGTTGCCAGTTCGACTCCCGCATGGGATGGTGGCTATGCTCACTGGCAACTAAGATTGAACATGGCACCTTAAGCTGAGCGGCTGCAAGCCGCCGACAGGCGGCTGGATGGCGACTGGACTTGGAGCTGAGCTAGTTGCGCTCTCCAAAACTAAGACTGAAGGACAACAACTTGGCTGTTCTCCTTCCCCAATTCCCCAACACTGTTCCCCTTCCCCAGCTCCCCATTAAGATCTTTAAAAAAATAAATTAAAAAAAAATAATAAAGGACCAAAGCCCAGAAGATGATCTAGTTCACAGTATTTGCACAACACCAACTTACTACACACAGCCCTGGATGATGTTGGACATTTGAAGCGGCCATGTTTTCCCCCAAAGCCAAGCAAAAGCTGGCGTTTTCCAATATGGGGTCCTCTTGCTATTTTATTCAAATGAACTATATCAATGCTGGGACTGATCCACAAATTTACACTGCAAAGCTTAGACTACATCATCATTAAACCAAGTCACCATTATTCCCATGATCCAGTGAAGCCACTACTAAAAGTCAGCAGTCTTAGAAGCAACTACCTCCCTATTCTGGCTGTTTCTCCAATGGACATAGTTATTTCCCTTCCCAAGTTGCCAACCCATTTCCTCACGCCACACTCACTTGCTTGCCTCCCCACTGGTGCTGCTGCTCCCACTGTCATTGTTGCCAGTGCTGGGGGAGGTGTTGCCAGGGCCGTCCTTTTTAACCTCTTTGC